TAACAAAAAGCAATTAAAAAAAAAAAAAAAAAGTTGCGCGGGCCCGGCCCGGAACAAAGGCGAGGGGGCCGCGGAGGAAGGAGGAGCCTTCCTCCCTCTCCTCCTCCTCCTCCTCCTCCTGTGCCCCTTTCCCCCGGCCCCGCGTCCTCCTCGCTCGGCCCTGCACTTTGGCCCCGCTTATTCCTAACCTCCGTATTCCCTCCTCTATTGCTATTCCTACTATTATTCCTATTATTATTCTTATTATTATTATTAACGTTATTTAATAGATATGTGCACGAGGCACCTGGCTTCAAAGCGGGAAGCACCGTGTGGGGCACTAAGGCTTGGGGCGCATGGGGACGGAGCAGGCGGCAAGTGGGGCCGAGCGCCCCTTCCCTTGGGCACTTCTGCCAAGTTTGCCTTGGGACTTGAGACGTGGGAGATTCTTTGCGCTAATTTTAGGGGAAAAAAAAGAAGAAAAATGGGGTTTATGTGGACTGTTTTCGGTAATGTGGGTGTTTATTAAGGACTTCAGACTGGAGCGGGTTTGTGATGCGCGGTGTAGCGAAGACCTCGGCTTGCTCCTGAAGAGCGGTCCCCGAGTGCTGCTTAATTCCTCATTTCCGAGGCCCAAACTGTTGTCTTCATGCGTGGCCCCCGTCCCCTAGTGCCACGGCTGGAGCGGGATGGAGGCTGCGGTGAGGAAGGTGCCGCAGGAGGAGGAAGAAAAGGAGGCAATGCCCAAATAACCCCCTTTCCACCGCTTCAGGCTTCYCCTGCCCATCCGCAAGCTGGGCACRCGCTGGGAAGGGGCGCTGAAAAGCGGCCGTGGGCGCTACTCGCCTGGCRCCCGGGTGGCCCGGGAGGGGGGACGCAGCTCCCTGCATGGGTGGGAGATCCCACCCCCAGCTCCCGATGGGAACAAGCCGGCGGCGGCGGCGCGCGTGACCTCATCCCTCAGGCACGCGGCGCCGCGATCCGGTTAAACCAGCAAAGAGCTACAGCCGGGCAGGGGGCGCCTGGCTGCCCCCCACCAGCCCCACCCTGTGGCCGCCCCCCAAAAATGCCCCCTTCCATAACAGCCGCACGGGCGCCGTGACCCCGAAGCCGGGGAAGCGCCCGGAGAGTGCGGCCGGAAGCCGAAGTGGAGCGGCGCTGCCCCCGGGCACCACCATTCCTGGCGGATCGTGCTCTAATCCGCGCTTAGGGACCTCCAGGGACGCCCCCGCAGGACATGTGGGGGCCGAGCTTTGCTGTTCTCGTCTTGCAGAGYGTTTCCTTCATTGTGAACAATATATATTTTTTTTCTTTCTTTTTTTGTTTTTTTTTTCTTCTTTTTAATTTTGCACCTGCCTCAAAACGCTGGGAAAAAATGAGATAAAATAAAAGCAGCTGCAAGCACAAGTGCCTGGCAGCACCTTGGGTCTATGTCAACAGCCACTCCGTGCCCCAGGAAGCCCTTCCCAAGCAAGGGAAACTCCTTGCCCAAGCAAGAGGTGTCTCCGACCTGCATTTTGCACTGATGCATTAGAAAATAAAGAGTATTGAAAATAAAATAAAATAAAATAAAATAAAATAAAATAAAATAAAATAAAATAAAATAAAATAAAATAAAATAAAATAAAATAAAATAAAATAAAATAAAATAAAATAAAATAAAATAAAATAAAATAAAATAAAATAAAATAAAATAAAATAAAATAAAATAAAATAAAATAAAATAAAAAGAGGGGAAAAGGGGTTATTTAACTCTGTCCGCCCTGGGTTTCCTGGAACAGCTCCCCGTGCCGGCGGAATATTGGCTCCTCGTTGCATTTTCCCTTTCTATCTAGGCAAAGACACAAAGACACGTGAATTCAGGCTTCCAGGGACTTCTGCAAGCAAAATAATGATAATAAAAAAACCGCAAATTGGGCCTATCTGAGCCCTTCTGCGTGGGCCCGCGGGGACGCTCCCGGCAATGAGACACCCTGCGCCCGCACGCGCCTCTAACTTACAGTCCTTTTATTGCATCTAAAAGACAGCTTTTTGGGGGAGAGGGGGCTCTGCCGAGAGAGTCTTTCCCCGAGGCCAGCATCCCGGGGGCATCCCTAGAGGAACTGGCCGCGGAAGGGCCGGGGGGCGCCGCTCCGCTCCCGCCAGCGGAGCCGCAGCGGGCCCAGCGGCCGCGCGGCCGCGCGCTCCAGCTCGCCGAAGCCCAGCTGGTTGAGCACCTCGTAGACGCCGGCGGCCGCCGCCACCTGCAAGCACAACGGGGAGAACATTCCCATCAAACRGCTGCAGACCGGGCGGGAAAGGCGGGGGAAATAATGCGGGATGGCGGAGGTGCCGCCACACACTCACACCAGGGGGAAGCATGCGGGAGAGCTGCAAAGATTCCAGGAAAGAGGGTTTTCCTGCTCCGGCTGCAAAATGCCGGCATGGAAAAAGGAGGGAAGGAGAAGGGGAGCGCGGATGTCCCTCCGTGTGCCGCTCCGGCACTGTTGGCCTTAGGGTTCGCGGGGTTTGTTGGCTTTGGCCGGGCTCTGGGAGAGCCACAATGCGCCCTTGTTTCTGGCCGCGTGCCTTGCGAAAAATGTGTAAATTAAGGGAAAGTGTCGTTGCAAAAATAAAATGAAAGAAAACGGGCAGCGGCATCGCAGAGCTTGCAAAAATGGAGCAAGGAATAAAAAGCAGCGTTGCAAAAACACACGGAAAGCGCCTCGCAGAAACTGAATAAATGGAAAGCACCAGTGCAGAGTTTGCAAAAAAACTAAAAGGAAAAGGGGGAAAAGCGAAGCGGGCGAGGCGCCGGGGAGGCGCGTGGAGCGCGGCGGAGGACGCGGCGCGGCGGCAGTGCAAACACGGGCATAGCCGGGATGCCAGGGCGCGGCGCGGGCGCTGACGCTGAGCGGAGCTGGCAGCGCCGCTTTCTTCTCCGGCCGCGCAGATCAAACACGCCAGGGCGCATTAGCGGCGCCCGCGCGGAAAGCGGGGAAGGCGACGGGGAAAACGGGGCGCGTGGAGCAGGCCGGTCCCTCCCGCTCTTCCAGGGAATCCGGCTCGCGCCAAGAGCCTTTGGGTGAGGATTTTTGGGTGCTGGGATGAGGGAATCGGGCTGCTCACCTGGCGCATCCAGGCGCTGAAGGGCCGCTGCCACGAGTCCTTCTTCTCCAGGTGCAGGTAGGCGTTGAAGAGGATCAGGTAAATGTACCGTTCCAGGTACTGCAGGCTCCTCAGCTGCAAGATCTGCCTCTCCTGCTCCTCCTTGGCTGCTTTGCCCTGCAAGGGACCGCGAGGGTGCCGTGGAGCGGCCCGTGGGCAGCGAGCCGCTGCAGGCGCCCCTCCGTGCAAGCTACTTCCATCGGATCCAGGYGGGATCCAGACGGGATCTACCGCTCTGGAATAGCCAAGGTGAGCCCACATAGCTCTCCATCCTCGTGGCCTGCTCAAATGGTGGCTTTGGCGGGGGGAAGCCTCATTTCCACAGCAACAAGCCAACCCTCTTCATGATGATCCCACCACAAAGCCAAGCCAACCTCACAGGCTGAGTCTGTCTAGCAAGCCCAGAACAGGAGGCATCTCCCATGGGTTACGAGCCGAGAGGTTTTGCAGGCCTCCTACGGAGCAAAACCAGCTCCAATCGGCATCAGGAAGACGGCAGAGCCAAGGCCACCCTTGGCCAGCTCTACAAGGGGTGGCCGTGCAGCAGGTTTCTATGCTGCAGGCCTCCCCACCTTAGCCCCCCTTCACCACATGCATCCACAACATCCTTGGGGCTCCCAGGGCCTCCCAGCTTGGCTTTTCCGTGGGGGACAGGGATGAGTGCCCGCTTCCAGCTCGCTCCCGCGGCCGCTTGGCAGCTCAGGCTCTCATTAGGTCGCCTCTCATTTCCTGGCCTCAAACCCGGGCCAGGTGCTGCCGCGTGCACAGCGTGGGCTGGTGGCACCACGAGCCCTTGAGCACCTGCCCAGGCCACAACTGCTGCTGTTTGTGAAGAGGCCCTAAGGGCTGGCGGCCCCGCTGAACTCGGCCCGGGTGCAGCAGCTGGGAGAAAAGGAGGAATAAAAAACACGTATATATGTATATATAGATATCTATATAAAAATACTCTATAGATATCTATATATAGATATCTATATATAGATACCTATATATAGATATCTATATAAAAATACTCTAAAATCCTAAGTCTCATCCCACTGCGGGTCCAGCTCGTGCTCAG